GTAGTGGCGAGAGTGTAGTGGTGAGAGTGTACTGGTGAGAGTGTACTGGTGAGAGTGTAGTGGTGAGAGAGTAGTGGTGAGAGCCCCCCCTTGCCAAGGCAGCCCATGTTTGATTCCCAGAATGGTGTCATGTGAGTAAAGCAGTTTGTTGATTCTCTAGATCTCCTGTGCTTTAATGGTTTTACCCCGGTTTTCTTCCTTTTTAAAAAAAACAATTTCTGAATTCCAATTGGAATCAAGAGGAAGAAGATCCATTCTGTGAAGCCACTGTTAAATCCTATTTATTTGTTATACCTGTACATAGCTATTGAATCCTTGACAGAATGGATCCTCTATGAACACTGCTGATTGCTGGTTCTTGGTGGCTCCAGGATCTCCAAAGAACACAGTACCTGCCAGAACAACCTCTAATGACTTTGGGAACTTTTGTCCTGGAAAAAAAGTTTTTTAAACATTTAAACATATTTACTTTAAACTTTTAACCCCAAGATGAAAAGCACTCATAGGGACACAGGTAGCCTAAGCACAGGATTAGTGAAGAACAAAAGGTTTGTTAATCGAAGTATTATGATCATCCGGGTGGATGTAGTCCTGAAAAGGACTGTTTGATGCGACTGACGTTTTGRCAACCTGAGCAGAAGTCATCTTCAGAGTCAAGTGAAGAATAAAGTAAGATTGGTCATATTCATAATGAATTTATGAGATGAATGTTAGAAAATTCTAACATCCATTCGTCATAAATTCAGTAAACCTTACGTTCTTCCCTATATGTAACTCTGTGCTTGGGCTACCTGTGATCAGGAGAGCCCATGTCTATGGAAAATATTTTAATATCAAATACATTATGCAATTTTCTTCTAGATTAAAGGTGCAGACACACACTGCAACATTGCATTTAAAAGGATTGTTGCAGCATTTGTCCACGTGCACCCCTCTGAAACGTATTGCATGCAGCATCGTGCAATGACAAGTGCTCTGGTCCTAGCATACCTATACTCCATAACAATCTTCTTTTACTAGAGCCGACGACCAGACTCCCATACGATGGTCCTCCTGACTCAAATTTCATTATATAACCCCTAAAGAATGAACACATAAGCTAAACATATAAGTTCATATTTGTTTCTTAAATAAAGTAACTGATTGTAATATTTTAATTTATGACCAGTCGACACATGTTGGTCAACAGTCATTTGTTGGTCAACATTCATTCATTCATCGATTGGCCGACACTTGATGGACACTTGACTGGCACTAACCAAAAATTGATTGACACTTGACCAACACTTGACCAACACTTGACCAACACTTGGCCAACTCATCACAAACACTCCCTCACTTGTACTTGCAAAAGATTTTCAATCTAAGGACAGTGTCTGAATCTGAGTCTGACATGTTTCGGCAGGTCATAGTACCTAATAAAGTACTTGATTACCATATATAATATGCCAGATAAAACCAATATCCACCTATAGTACTATTAATTATTCCAATATTTTGTGTACCTGTTGAAGAAAGGTAAGTGGACTTCAAAATATTCAAAAGAATTCTTGATTTTTCCATTGAGTTTCAGTTGAAGAGAGATTTGAACAGCTCTTTCATCACCCTGGAAAAGACAAGTACTGTAATTAATACTCAAAGTACGTATTTCATGGCCTGTGACGACTTTTTTTGAAAATTCTCCTTTTCACAATTCCTTTCAGTGGTCCTATGAATAAAAGTTCCAAGTCAAAGTTGGAGTTGCTGCACATGATACTCTATAGTTTAGCATGCAGAAACTCCAACCTCAAATTGGAACTATTATTCATGGTCACTGAACAGAACTGTAAAAAGGCCAAGTGTCATCTAGTCATAAGTTAAAATTATCCAGGCTCACAATATGTTTGTATTACTCACAGTATAACACAAGAGTTAACACATTCAACTGCATATCTTATGTTACTGCTTTCGCATTCCAAAGTTACATTTAACTTTCCAAAGCATTTTAGCTTTTATCCATTAAATATAATGATGGATTCATGACTTTGAGTGATGTTAGTCTGTTTCTTGAATGCAGTACAAGGTAGGGACCTTCACAATTGAAAGCAGCAAAGTGATGACATGAGTGTGTTTTCAAAACGATTTTTCATGCATGTGTCTTCATCCTTGGCATTGTCATTCTCACTAGGATGTGAAAAAACGCCAACTGACATTCCATGGGTAGCAGCATCAGCCAAGATGACATTGTACATATAAAAACTGTCTTGAAAACATGCTTACATAATTGTACCATTGTACAGTACCCACCCTCATCTGATAAATGCCTTCAATAGGTAAACCATTCTTTGCCTGACCAGAGTAGTGACACAAAGGGAAAGGTTCAGCTGGGGGTCTGAACCTGATGCGCCGTTCTGTAGCACGAGGAAGTATAGCACCTTGACTTGTTTCAAGGACTGACTCTTGTACAGATGTATCCCCCTCATGAACACTGGGGTGTACAAGAAGGTAATCCACGGCAGGAGAGAGAATGCTGACTGTTATTTCTGGGATGCCATCTAAATCTGCCTGTTGAAAGTACCATACAGTATAAACCTTGTAATAAAGTCTTGACCACCTAATGAAAGCCTTATTTATTTGTGCCAACAACACATGAAAGACTTTATAATCAATTTGTGCATGCCTACTGCTTTATTAACTGATACCTTGGTAGCATTGAAAAATAAAAATAAAACGAATGATGGTTAAAACATTGGACAAATAATGAAAAACCTAAAAAAGCATGAAACTAATTAAAAACGAAAAAGTAAATCAACTAAATTTTAAAAAATGGTTATTGTCCTGCTAAAGGTTTTGTGAAAATTTTGTTTACCACACATTGGGAATTGAATATACAATATGGCACGATTCTAATTGTTACAACAACAAAGATTAACCAAAGTTCATTTTATATTTTTTAAATAATATCCTTACTTGGTAACACTTCTTCTATTTTTAGTAATATATGATACTAACAATCAGTAATATTGTCATTACCAAAACTAATACTTACCTTACAAACTATGGTACCAAATAACTGATATACATCATTGCTACTATCAGCATGATGCTATTAACAACAAACAAAATTGTAAAAATATGTAAATATTTGTTTGTAATAATTACATAAATAAATACAATAAATATTTTTACAATTTTTACAATAATTATCATTAAGCTATTTTTCTAGGAAAACCATCCAAGGTCAGACTTTCTATCCACTGAGCTACTGGGAACTCATAGTGTAGGGTGATACCAGTGACTGCACAGACCATAAATATGACCATTATTAAGCATCATCATTATCACCATTATAAACCAACACCATAAGGATCATCATCATCATCATCATCATCATCAACCTCATTCTCATTGTATGGTATAAACCTAATTGAAAAAACGTAGTCAGGTTCGAGAAGGTCATATCATCGAAGCTAAGACCAAAAAGAATTTTGGGTATTCTGAAATGTGTATTATATTTGCATATAGACATGTAAAAATGCACAGTAGAGCAGAGTTGGTCGACCTAGATTAACAACATGCCAAAGCCATGATGCATRAAATGTGCACAGGAAGGGAAAACTGCAATATGCATCAAATTAGCATAATTGTTTGTCTTCCCATGCTCCCTTTCAGTCTTAGCTTTGATGATATAACCTTTTTTGAACCCGACAATGAAATGATTTTTCAATTAGGTGTATCTTGATTATTACCTGAGATGCTTTGATTTCTTCTTTTATCGAAAATAGAATCTGTTGTTTCCCTTTATGACTAACAGGTTTCCAGGATGGTTGCTAAAAATATTTCCAAACAAGACTTCAGTATACTTGTATAACTCAAAACCCATGCCAGTCTTTAACTATTTTTGGCTGTCTGAAAGTCAATAGTCAGCATCATCATTCTCATCTTATCTTATAATGTACCTTTTGCCTTTGTGATATAGCTATGTCTTTACCAGTAATCAAAGCCTGGACTGTTACTGGGTTAGTATCAACTGGTGTTCCAAATGGAACAGCAACACACAAGAATGTCTGCAGATCTTTAATCTTGGAAGAAAGCTAGTAAAAAAAAACCAAGGATGCTGAGAAATCATTAGCACACTTATCAAAGAGCAGTTTTGGTATGACTGTCAAAAGCTTATGACATGAACATGGTTGTGGCACACCATGGTATATATGTACGCCAGACCAATCACATTGCATGACAGTTCACTACCATCCAATCAAATACCTAAATCACTGCACTAACACAGTGCAGACATAGTCACTGCTAAGGTTACAGCACTGCAAGACCAATCACATTGCATGAGGGGGGAAATCAGCCAATCAAAATTCTAGAAAACATAGCAGTCACAGCAAGGCACGCATACTGCACTGAGCTTTTCACAGTCATACAAAAATGCTTTATCTTGATTGTGACAGACACAGGCTTTATTTTCTTAAATGTACTGTATAGCATTTTACCTCTTCTCTAGAAGTCCATTGCCCAACAAATTCCACTAGTGAATGCAGCAATTTGTAACCAATGGTAACACCAGGCCTTAAACAAAAATAACCAAACTCATGTGTAAAAAGTAAGTCTTGTAAAAGGTTGATGTTTGTAGTCTATATTTTATAAATACTTACATCTCAATCAATGGAATCTTTTCTTGGGATAAGTCTCTTTCAACTAAGGGAAGGCAGGCAAAGATCAAGCCAAACTGATCAACATAAAGAAAACAATTATTACACACTATTGTTAGTTTCCAAACATTTAACCAGGGGGATCAGATAAAAAATACATGCTTGGCAGATACAATGGCAGTACAAGAGGTTCACAAAACTTAACACCATCATGTGACAATGTAAACATTATGGTGACAAATGAGTGACAATTTATAATAACCATAGTAGTGATGACAATGATGAAGGTGCTGTGGTGATGCTGCTGCTGATGATGATGGTGGTGGTGAAGATGGTGATGATATTAATAATGACAATAATAATAATGACAATGATGAAGGTAATATGACAGAGATGATGATAGTAATGGCAGCAATGATTATAATGATAAAGGTACTGCTGCTGATGCTGGTGCTGATGATAATAACACCGATAATGATGCTGGCATACTGGGAATTAAATGTACTACTGATCATAAAGAACCAATCACTACAATGTAGTCATACTACAGTACCTTCTCAATAGCAACCACAGGCCAAAGAGTACTACCATCTTTCAGAGGGACTTCATACACTGGTCTATACTGAGTCTTGCTACATGAGTCATTCTGAGAATTAAACTAGACATAATAGAGAGATTTTCAGTTTGATAATAATATTAATAATAATAATAATAATAATTTTATTACTTATATAGCGCAAATTCATTAAAATATATGATCTAAAAATGCACTTTACAATCTTTACAATCATTAAGAATCAAGCTATACTAAAACTATATCTATACATTAGTTTGCCATTAAAGTGGAGTTCAGTTTTGTATGATGATGCCAAGAATGTCTGAATTTAACCAAGCCACGAGATACAATGAAATTACATATGGTGTGGTATTTTTGATATTAAAATTGAAGTTTCACTTGAGAAACAAGAAAGCCTATTGCATCATATCTTGATGTCAAAACGCCCCTCAGTCTTCCCATTGCATCAAAAGCTACCTAGAGTAGATTCTATCTTCATGATCTCTATTTAAAATCTATGAAATATCCTCACAAAATTATCATGTCCAGCTTTTACCTCTTCCTCAGTATTAATGGACACATGTCCTCTTTGCCCAAACTCCTGAATGAGACTTTCACATATAACTGATGCAGGAGGAATTTTTACATTCTTTTTCTGGATCAGACTGGACCTTTTCTCCACTGTAGTGAAATACCTGTCAAAATAAGAAAAGATATAAGGGAGCATTCATTTTTTAGGAGGGGGAGGGGGCCAGAGGAATTAAGGGGGATGGCATCAAATATTTACATGTAGAAGTGAAAAAAAAAAGAAGGTCACTGATTTTTCTGGTAATAACCTTGCATTTTTGAGGTCAGATATTGTGGGGCCATTTTACAATAATATTATTGTAAAACTAAGCCGGGTGGGCTAGCAAATTGGGCACATATGCTAACAGCTATTCCTCTGGCCCCCTCCCAAGAAATGAATGCTACTAAAAGCACCAGTCAAAGTTTGCACCAGTCGGAGTTTGCTGAAGAATAAAAGTTCTGGATTTTTAGCTGTTTCTCACTCACCGGGAAAAGATGACTTTTTCTTGCACCTTTACAGGCCCAGAATTTAAAAATATCCACACACCACGTAAACTCATGAATACTCTGATTAAATATCAATAATTCATATCAAAAGAGCGAGTAATAGTTATAAAATTGAGGACGTTTTAGTTGAGTCAAAACATGTCTCTCCGTCCGCCATCTTGTTTCTTAGAGTGCTGCATTGATATTCCTGTCATCGAATATTTGAAGTTCATTCAAGGTCMAGGTCGTTCAATATCACAGTCCACTTCACTTCCGGACATTGTGTCAATGCACGCACTCAAAAAAAAATTAAAACTCCATCCCAAAGATACTCCAAAAACAACATGAGGCATAAGAATTTCACCAGTTTATAAGATAAAAAGGAATGAAAAATAATTTCGAGTTGAAAATCTAAGATTTGGTTTGAAACTTGAGATGGACTTTGGTTCACGTGACTCACGTGCTCGTAGGTGTTCTCAGTCTTAACCAATCAGAGAGAGCAACAAGAGAAAACCCCGCTAAGGTATTGACGCAAAGGTCATATTCCAGATTTCTTTCAGTATACAGAGACAATATAAGTCGATCAGAACAGAAGCGAGTACTTTGTCATAAAGTTACAAGTCAACATGGAAAGAAATGGTCTTGTAAGACGTGCCAAGAAAGTTGGAAAGGATAAGGACTATGTCGAAGTGAACGGGAATATTCCAGTCAAAAAACAACTGAAACTCAAACGAAAGCAACAAAAACTAATTTTCGTTGCTCTTTCGAGCTTACGTTACGTTGTGGAATGTCTGTTTTGTAACTTCCTATTGATGTGGTTTCTCATCCTCGTCCTGCCTATTGCTGTACTTAACTTAGTGTTAAAGAAGGTTGAACAGTTTATCGTGTGTCTTAAAGTAAAAGCCGTTCCTCTTCGAGGCGAAGACGCGATTTGGCTACAAGATTCTGATACGAACCGCTTAATTATTACTTCGGTAATAATCGTCGATAAGCAAGTGGACGAAAACACAGCTATAAAAGACTTTAGACAAATTGTTTACGAACGCATGGTAACTTACAAGAACAGTGATGGAAGCATAAAATTCCCTCGTGCGAAGCAGTTTATTCAACCTGGGTTATTCCAGTATTTCTTAGTCGAAGACAGCAATTTTGATATCGATAAACATGTTTTTAAATTTGATGGCGAGTTACCGAAGTCCAAAGAAGAGTTAGAAGGTATCATTTCTAAGATGTGTTGTGAGCCATTACGGAAGGATCGCCCACCATGGTACTTCTGCTACATCGCAAATAAATTTGACGATACAGCAGCTGTGGTCTTCCGTATTCACCACTGCATAGCAGATGGTGTCTCTCTGTCCAGATTCATGACCAGGATCCTCACAGACGAACACAAAGCACAGAAAGAAGCAAGAAAGTTTTCTTCTTACGCAAGAGGTTTCATGTATCTCAAAGCTCTCTTCGTTACTGCCAGAGTTGTGATTAGCCTACTATTAAGTTTTCCAGACAAATCGATTATACATGGTAAATCCCTGATTGGAAAGAAGAACTGCGTCTGGTCCCAACCTCTGGACCTTGACCTAATCAAAAGGGTTAAAACAACCACAGGTACGACTATCAACGATGTCCTTGTCGCCTCTCTAACAATGGCTATGCGGAAATACTTCCAAAAGAAGGGAGTCAAAAATCCTGAAGATTTCACAGCATCTGTTCCAGTCGACGTCAGTTCGTCCACAGAAACAATCGAGTTCCAGAACAAATTTTCTGTTGTTTTTATCAAACTCCCTTCAAGTCAAGAGAGTGCCTTGGATATTTTGTCTGAAACGAAAGCCAGGATAGACGCTGTTAAGTTTTCTGGCGAACCTTTTGCAATGGCCTGGTCTATGAACCTGTCAGTTGAACTTCTACCGGAGATACTTGTCAAGCCGTTGATATCATTTATCTCGATTAAATCGACCTGTGTGATGTCTAATGTGCCTGGTCCTCAGCATTCGCTGTCTGTCAGTGGACACCCGATAAAGTACATGACATTCTGGCCACCCCAGAGAAATAATATCGGTGTTGGGATCTCCATCTTCTCTTACGCAGGTCAAGTTGTGATTGGTGCACAAGGGGACTTGGAAGTGATGAATGACCCAGAAGCTGTCACTGAACTATTTGACGAGTCAATTCACGAGTTAGCTGCAGTTGTGCTTGGCGGAGAGAAACATAATGGATATTATTAACATTGCTACATGAAATGTCAACAATGATGTAATCTAGGAATACGTTTTCTTTTTTTCTAGTTCGCCCACAGGTAGCCCAAGCTTGGTTTCTGTGGTGTCCTGTTATAAGGAAATGTATGGAGATTTATCAAAAATTTCAATAAAATCATTGGAACGTGAAATAAAGCCTCGAAATGTTACCCGATCATTGAGAAATAGCACTTCTTTCGCTCTGCGTGGTTATTCTTTGAATTTAGCCCGTTTTAAGATTTTTTCCCCCACCAGTAAGAAATAAGAGAAGGTTGGAAACTCGAGTCCCAAAAGCGAACCATCACGGGTCTTTGAAACCTCGTACGTCTTCGAATTTCCTTTCCAGCGCCAAATTTTAGTCATAATCCTTCTCTAACATCCCTATAGAACCGAGAAAGTCGCATTAGAGACTAGTCTAAGAAGTGCTATTTCTCAATGATCGGGTAAAATTTCGAGGCCTTATTTAACGTTTCAATGATTTTATTGAAATTTTTGATGAATCTCCATACATTTCCTTATAGCAGGACACCACAGAAACCAAGCTTGGGCTACCTGTGGTTCGCCTTTTATACTCTCAAACGCACCGCATCTCATCCCATGCTGCCACGCCCAGAAGCCACTTTTCCCATTTCCRTCAGACCACTTGTCATTTCCTGGTAAATAAGATTCTTCGTTATCAATATTCATGTGCGGTCGTCTCGTGCGCAACCATTATTTAAACAAATACTTGATACTCAAAGGAATGACACATGGTCTGGAATGCCCGGCAGTTTAGTTTTTCAGTTATTTTCCAGAGTTTTGTTATCTGGAATTTCTTTTTTTTTWAATTTCATTCGTTAATATATTTGAAGTGATACATGATTTGATACTGAAGTGAATGGTTGATATTGTGCACGACGCATAGTGCAGGTACCAACGTTAAACTTGTGATCAAACATGTAAGAGGAGATCAAGACATTGATTTCAAATATTGAATGTAAAAATTTATTAGGTGAAACCTTGAATAGTTTTTTAATTGAATTTTTTTAAATGAATTAAATTGAATGCAAATTTTTAAATCATTATTTAACTTAAATGATATAGAATGCAAACAATATATCCGTGAAATATTAGTAATACTAACTTACACTATTTTATGCTAATTCTATTGTTTTCTTTTGTTTAACTAGCACTATTTTGGACAATATAGTAATTAGTGTTTCAGGGATACATTGTTTGCACTCTATTAAAGTGACCACAGTAAATAGACCTTTTTGCTTTATCGGTATTTTCGAAATCCGTGCACCCTAGAACAAAGAGTGATAACTATTTGCCCGTGGAATGTGGTTTTCTTTGTTAAGATATAGCACTTCGTACTATAGGGTGCGTACTGGTTTTTTTTGAGTGCAATATGTTAAGCAAATGCGCATTTTATTGGTTTATATTGTCATTTTTGAAAATATTGATGCTGTTCGGCACTGCCGACCATCAATATTGTGAAGAACAAAATATGCTTTATGCCTATGCCTTGACTCTGAGGTCTTGCCGTGTACGAGCAGAAGAAATATYGGACTTCAGTTTATTATCCACGATGCTTCTTGTTTGTGGAGATGTTGGAGAGGAGCTAGACGTTTTAGAAAGACTATTTCCAGATTTCAGAGGGCACAGGCGAAGAGGAAATGACGTATGGTCCGAGCTACTCAATATACCACCTTTATTTTGGCATCTGACTGGTGAGACGCCAGAGACGTTTGAAGGACTATATCAGACAGCATATCCTTGGATTATCCAACCAAGAGACCCCAGGTTGCAGCATGTAGGTCTACCAAGGCGTATTCGACCAACCTTGCTTAATCCAAGAAATCGTCTTTTGGCTGCATTAATATGGTTTAGASAGTATTGTAGAGAAGAGCTGGTTTGTGCACTATTTCAGATAAGCGTAGCAACAGTTAGTGACGAAGTTCATCACATMATTCCCATAGTATGGTACATCTTAAGAGATCAAATTCGATGGCCAAATGCTGCCGARTGGGCAACATTTAGGAATAGCTGGGATACTTTTCCTAATGCAGTGGGTGCTATAGACTGTAYCATACATCGAATATGGAGACCATCTGTGAGGCAAGCGACCTATTATCGTGGCGATAAGAAAACACATTTCTTGGCTACCATCGTCATCGTTAACACAGACGGGCTTCCTGTTTACGTAAGGGCAGGGYACRTATTATCAATGCGTAACGGACGTACATGAAAAATGAACAAAAGTCTACAAGGTCTACAAACCTCGCCTAAAATATCATTTTTCAATAGTGCATATTTAACGACATATACGCTAGATGCCCGCGCAATTTCTTCGCATCGATTTTCGATTAGTTTTGTGTGCGTACACTGTACGCTAATGACGTCATTCCATGCACTTGTCCCTCATTTTTACCGAAGTATATCTTTTTTGTAATTGAGAGAATAAAGAATATTCGTAGAAACCGTCCATTATAAAGCTTTCTTTCGTCCAAACACCGTACAAGTGCTCGTTCACCGGGGTTTACGCATATCAATTATATCTTAAACAAAGAAAACCACATTCCACGGGCAAATAATCATCACCTTTTGTTCTAGGGTGCACGGATTTTGAAAATACCGATAAAGCAAAAAGGTCTAATCCGTGAAACTTTAGTAATACTAAATAGCACAATTTCATGCAAATTCCATTGTTTTCTATTGTTTAATTAGCACTATTTTGTACTATTTAGTAATTAGTGTTTCACGGATTTACTGTGGTCACTCTAATGAATCAGACAAATCACTACGAAATAATAATAACAAAATAATAATAAAGAAGATGTTGTCAATAGTATTTTTCGAGGGGAGGGGAAGGGAGGGAGGGAGGGGAGGTGAGGAGAGGTTGAAAACGACTGAACCGATGCAGCCTTGTCCAACGTCGCTGGAAAAAGAATTTAGAGGAATGAAACAAACGGGGTTTTTTTTCGTGCAAAAAATAATAAACATTTGAAAGAAAAAACTACGCGAAACGTCATCAATGGTGGCCAAAATAAATACGTTGTTCTAATCACGGTGTGTGAAACCCGACTTTTATTGCAAGAAAAGGCGCCGCGCCGATTATTTTTCGCTCGCTACGAATCTATTCTGGCAAGAAACTCCAAACTGTTGCTGGAGTCCACTGGAACGGTTCAAGAAGGCACAATATGTACGGCATTGGTGCAGTGTGACTTACGAGCCATTTTATCGCGAATTCCCATCCAAAAAAGTTTTTCCTTTAAGATTACGCTGCTCAGATTGTAATTGTTGTTTATTCGCCGTTAACTAAATCAAGGAATGACGAGGTACGTATGGTCTACGATGCAGTCGTGTCTTCCAGCTTGATACAAAATCGATTCTTTCACCTCTTGTTCCTCGAACAACTGGTCGAATGGTAGAAGAACTTGGGAAAGATAAAGAACGCTTTTTTCGAAGTGGCTTTATCCCTGGAGATTCGATTGGGTCGAAACCATCCTTCTTCAGTGGTCCGGGTTTTTGAACAGGCAAGGGACGAGGTGATTCCAATGAACTAGACTTATCATTCGATGGCGCTTTTTCTGATTTGACTGAAATTTCTCCTTTATTCAATTGGACATCAGTCATTTTAAAACTTGTACTTTTATTGGTGTTGTTCTGTTGCTTTACACTGAGAGCTGGAAAATGTCCAAACCTTTCCTCATCAGAAAGAACTTTTTCCGTAGGTTTCAAGACTGGTTTTTGAAAGGACCTCGGAGAACTCAAAACGTTTGGCAAAGAAAGCCATTTTCCTGAAGGAGTGCGGACAGCATTAACGGAAAAATATCGCCTTCTTTCTGCTCTTTTCATTTGACGGTCTTTGTTAAAGGCTTTATACAAACATTACGTCTAATGGCCTACTTACTTTGGAGATCAATAGTTCGGTAGAGTCATTTCAATAAACAAATAGTCTTATTCATGAACCGTGTTTATTCATGCAGTGGTGTGGCTACAGTCCCAGGTCTCGTTCACACTACGTCCCTTTTAGATTGGTCTACGTAGTTTGGATAGATCCAATATCGATCCAAGCTCAGTTTTCAAGAGCGTTTACACTACAGGTCTAATTTACTATGATGCATGTTCTGTTTAGACTTACTAAATGCATCCCACATGGAAAGGAGTGAGTATGCGTTCAACGCCATCAGCGTCACCATCAAGGGGCCGACGGTAAAAACAATTAATTTTTTTGTACAGGCTGGCAAAACCGATTTCGGTGAGCGTGCATATAACACGTGCGCGCGTCGGCATTGGCGAAAAACTACAGTTCCAAAAGTACTGAAGTACGAATCGAACCAAATGGGCCTAGTGTGACTACGCTGCCAGCGTTGCGGGAGATGAGGAAGAGAGGGAACGAGCGCATTTCGCATGGAGTAAATGTTTCCAGCATCTCCAATCTTATGTGAATAGATTTGATTCAAACCCACTTCCACCGACAGAAATTCGATAATTAATTCCAAAATATAATCCATGCATTATCCCCTAGGCATCCGCAGCTGAGGCGTCGTATGGACTTCGGAACTGACGGTAATTAAGGTTCATCCGCCGGCCTTAGAGTACGGATTATACACCAGGATAATATGTTCTAGGCCTAAGACATCAGGAGATCTAGAGACTAAACGCGCTATGTACCTACAGCTAATCCTTTGYACCACCTGCAACGCACTTCGTTTTGTCCTTTGTTTTGAAGTAGAAATAATCTAGTATCTGGTGATAAAACGTGTCATACATTTGCTTCTGCATGCATCGCACTTAAAGGACCTGATGAACGTAGCTGCGTATGGAGAGCCGTGATATTAGGTAGAAAATAACCATTTTCACAATTGTACCATGACGATAAGATTCAAAAACCAGGGAAGCTTTTATTTCTCACTAACCAAATCAAGTTGAACTGCTTTTTCAGGCTGTGATAACCATGTTAACCTTTCCGTACATTAAGAATTTTTCATGTACAAGATAACGAGCCTTTCATCTAAGTAATGAGGCACCTGACGCTATGTCATGGCAACGGTAGTCAACGATCGTGAATATACTATCTCCGTTATGTACATATTCATTTGATGAGTAAGCTGCAAAGTCCGCAAGATGTACTCGAAATGAGAACGAATTACTTTTTGCTATTTGAACTGAGCGACAAACTGCCATGCCAGTCGAAAATCCGGCGCCAGGGCAACGCAGGAAAACTACTGCGACTTTTGGCGCCAAAAATGGAAGAGACTAAAGAAAATGAAAACTAATTTTCTATATTCCATCGCTTTTAATCAACAATTTTCATCATCTTATCTTAGTAATACTACACTGACTGAGATTTTAGGTGCGTACGCCGCTCATGAGGCCTGACTACGTCCACACTATGCCGGATAAATTTGAATCCGAATTTTTATTTATTCGGTTAG